CTTCAACAACGAAACTCTGGCACAACGTAAAGGGCAATAATGGAATAAGATCATAAGGTCTAATATTCCCAAATATCTGATCCCAAAAATCTATCCCAAATATTGACAAGAATGATGTGAAATATTGTGGTCTCAAGCTTTAAACAATCTTCTAGCTAATACGTCTGCAAGAACAATTAACACCCACATTTCCTTCCTTCAATCTCAAAAATATTAGCATGGTCCAAGAACATATCAGGACACTATTAAAACAAAATGAAAAACACAACCAACCATTTATTATAAATGAACTTTTTTGTCTTACATAAATGTAAAAACTCAGCACCTGTAGAAGCATGACAAATACCACTACCACTAAGACGTAAACTACAATGTCTAAATTATGCATATTTACTTCTACTGTACCACCTAATCCTACAAACTCAATTGTTTTCCAACATCCAAAAACATCCAAAAACATATGAAGGATAGCCACAAACCCATCCACTAAGAGAAAGACTTCCTAGATACATGAAGGACTACAACATTCTTAAACCACTTAGCTTACCTATAGATATAAATCCCATCCCACCCTCGCAAGACCATAATATTACCACAAACATTGAACTAGCCAATATGCGTTATCTTCCCTCTGAATTTAATACAAATGTCGACGATACTATAAAACAATGTTCTATAAGTATGATACATTTTGTCAAGTTCAATCTGACGGATCCAAACAAGATGGAAAAGCTGGCTGTGCAGTATTACTAACAAATGATAATGAAGTCAACCAACATCGCCTCCCAAACTACTTTTCCATTTTCACATGTAAAGCATAGGGACAGTTTTAATGCCATTAAAATCAGCGTCCATGGCAAAGGTGCCCCCGTTTCGGTCGTCAATCTGCGATCTTCCTCAGGGCGTAATGAATTACGAGGAAGGTCGCAGAATTCTGTTTCTTTATTTGTAATCCCTCTAGCCTTCCCTGCTATAAGTAGTTTTGCCGAGATCCCATTATTCGTTCGACCATTATTTATTGCTTAGGTCGTCTTCACTTCCGTCTGCAGTTCCTTTGGGGTTTGTAAGATAAGTTCCCCAAGTCGGGCTACCAACCCTATGTTGTGTGAAGGGGCTGCTTTCTTAGGGGACCCCAGCATCCTCTCTTATGTATAAACCGCGTAAGAAGGGCTGCCTCAAACGCCTTTTACCCATTAAGGTCTTCACCTTCACCCTGGCAAGGAGCTCTTATGAGGTGCTACCCGCCGGAGCCAACTGGACCTAGGTTTTTTAAAGATGTATTACTCCTCTATCACTACCCTCTTTGTCCTGGCTTGTGACAGGCAGAGCATGGCTACCATAACATCCAGTCCAAGTTTTGGGAATCACATTTTAGTATTTTGATAGTAATTTGAATAAAAAACTTTCTGACATGTGATTTTTAAGTAAACGGACATTTCCTTCAGAACCCTTACAATTCTCGCCTTCGGGGCAGGTGGCCTTCGCGGCGTCGATATTGTTTCGTAGATTCGAGCCTTCGCTGGGTGGCCGTGAAGGCCGGATAGAGTCATAACTACAGCAATCCATGGTCTTGACACGAAGAACATATGAACGATATATCAATATTAACGATAATAATGAGAGATTATTACCCGTTTGTTCATCTGAATTGAACTTTTCTTCTGAAATTCCAAAGCAAAGGTAATAGAAAAGAACAAAAAAAAAAGCGGAAGAACGACAATAATAATAAATTTCCAAACTTACAAGAATCAAGCCCATTATGTTATGACAGAAACAAGCTAACATTTTAAAAGATGGGAAGGGAATGAATTCTTAAAGTTTTTCATTGTAATACCTCGATTAATTCCTTAAATAATATACTCTCTTACTGTTAATAAGATTTCTATTTAAACATGTAGCAAAACAACAAAGTAATAAAAATTTTGAAATGCTCTTGACAGTTCTGTGTAAATTTACCAAACTTTAAAAAATGGGCATATAAATAATGCGCAGCTAATATTGACTGGAGTGTTCTTGACGTCACTTTTCACTTCACCACGTGCTGTCACAAACTTGAAAATCCACGTTAGAAGACGGAAGTGTACTGTTTTCTTTTCCATTTATGAACAGCAGTAGTCGTATGGTTGCGAAGTGGAGGAGTGATCATCTTAATTAAAAATGAAATTTACCAATGAATGTGGTTGGATTCTTGTCACGTGTGAAAATATTTATATCAACTTCCTTACGCTACTAATTTTATATCGTTCTTTTAAATTATCTATTTTTAGAATTTCAGTAGAACACAAGTTAAATCCAAATAAATCAATTGAAAATATATCTCATTCTGATCGTTTAAATTGGAGTTTCTTAGTGTGATCTCCGAGACAAGACCATGGATTGTTGTAGTTATCCCTCTTATCCCTCAGTGACCCCTGTCTCCCCTCTCCACGCAACAGTCTAAAGGTAGCGAACGCCACCTTCCCCGAAGGCGAGAGTTGCAAGGGCTGTTACTCGTACATGAAATATTGTACGTTTAATTCAAAACCACTTGTCAGAAAGTCGAATTTCATACTAAATTTACTATCAAAACACCAACATATATTAGCAATCATTTTATTCTTCTTTTCATGATCTATCCATTGGTGATGAGGAAAAAGGTATGGTTCCATTTAAAAAAATCAAAGATGATTACATTTCTTGAAAATAATATATATTGAAACGAAGTACGTTTCTGTAATTAGAACAATTACAATGATCACCAATTATAAATTAAAATAAAGTACTGGAGTTGATCAGCGCAGTAACGCCGCCGCCGCCACCAACGGTCAAATCGGGGGGGGACGGCGAGGCGAGCGACGGTTAGTGGTGCGCGGAGAGGCCTCGAGTGAAGCACGGGCGGGGCAGTGTTGCGTCCAAGAGGTTTATTGTCGTTGTTAAGTGCAGTTCGGACTGGGTGTGGCCGCTGAATGGGGAACCAGGTTTGATAAGGATTAACAGTCAGATGATTAGTGGGAGTAGAATTGCGTACCAGAACTGATAAAAACCATTAAGACAGGAAATCGTGTGGCCGGTGGGCTCGTGTTATAATCCCGCCCTGGTATAATATAACAGTGGGCAGTGCTTACGGACATTCGCGCGAAGTTGAGAAAGGTTGCTGAAAAGACTAGAACAACCGACGAACATCAATCACGCGTCGTGCGTTCCAGTACCCGTGAGATATTGTTCACACCGGCTTGGGTGGACCCCGGCGAATTCATCGGCCGTTACGGTGGGCCAGAGGAGTTGGTCGCCGAGGGAGGGCGAATTCCCGGCGGACTTCGAGGCGAACCGAAGCTTGCCGAAGCCACCGCCGCCGTTGCCACGAGGGCCCGGTCGCCTCCAGAGGAAGCAGGTGGTTTTTAAAACATCGAGGTAGCGTTGACGGTGCACTTGTTTCCAAGGCCTGCGCATTGCGATTTGTAAATACTATTTGTAAAGTGTGTTCTCTGCTCATTAAAATATTTAGATGTGCAAAAGAATCTATAACGATTATCTTCCTATGCTGCGCCAAATTCCT